AGAGTAACTACCGATCCCGCCCGTGAGGTGATGTTTCGCGGTGTATTCACCAACTGTGGTTTGGCTGAAACAAAGGTAAAATGTTTTCAAATGATTTCATAGGAATCTGTGCCTCTCCCCCACCCCACCCCACCCCACCCCCACCAAAAAAAGAAACAGGACATGGCTTACATCATCTACTCTAATTTAGCAAAAACGCAAAATACCAGCTGGAAATGCATGAGATGAAGAATAAAGTCAATTTTGCGGTTAGAACGAGAAAAAATGATGCTTACACTCCACCACAAGACGTAGTTCAGCTTGATCTTCTCCGACTGGATTGGTTGCAATGCACTGATAGACACCGGTGTCTCTGGCCTGAAAATGGGATAGTGAAAACAAATTCGAAAAAAAATTATTTTAACTAATTTACTCAAATCGGTTCTTATTTCTTGGATGGTTTGGGAGATACTTATTGGTTGAGTAAACGGATTCTTCTTTTCACCGTATAAAAATATTGCTGTTAGTAAAAACATGAAGTCGTAAGCATAAATTTCGCCAACAGATTGCTCAATAAAATTTAAATCTTTGATACATCCATTCTGAACTCTTTCGATGGTAATCTGATCGAATGACCTATGAAGCCGTTGATCACGTGATTCCGGCTGATGTTCTCGTATATATCCCTGTTTTATTGAGTAACTAACAGATTCCGGTTATTTACGACTGAGCTGGATAAGATATTTGCAATATAGAATAGGAGTACCGAGAAACGCAAAGGGAATAATTATTAGCGTAAAGATGCTTTCGTCCGAAGGTGCCAATCAACATTAGCATATTGCTTTTTCATTCGCCTTCAACGTACCTGACCCATATCCCGATATGGTCCCATTTTTCAGTAAACCCAAACCAACCGTTTACATGATGACGGAAGTCTTGCCTATGCCATGTCGCCACACACCCCTCCCTGGGTATATTGCACCTCGTGTATTGACGTGCAGGTTGGTCATGGACCATACATCAAAATACATTATCGCATTCAGCCAATGTCGTTTCACTTAGTGTGACGCAATACATGGCACGGCTCGCTGACTGGATAACCCTTGAGAAGAAGACACAAAGATGCCAGCGATCCAAGACAGGCAGACAATGTGCACGTGACTGTCTACCAGAGAGAACCAAAATCTGTTCGCATTACTGAAGCAGCTAGTACCAAAATCACTTAACATTTCAAGGAGAACTGTTCACAATCTTAAATCCAATCGAACGACTATCGGAGAATTTTTCAACGCTGATGTATCTCAGGAAACACGCCATCTGAAAACCAAACAAAAGTTCAAAACAGTTAATGAGGCAACTTTCGTATAGTACCACAATGAGGGAAAAGCAGGATGAGTCCCTCATGGTGAAGAGCATCGTTAGTACGAAGGTGATCGAAATAGCTCATAAAATGCACCAAGACTTCCATATTACTTCAAAACACATGCTACTGACTAAAATGCCTCATCACAGTTTGTAGAATTTGCTATTTTTTTCGAATCTCAGTTGGGCGCGACATAGGGGCAGCTTGATTGTATTGATTTTCATGTCATGCATAATCAGCCATAGCAGTCACATCGAACAGACATGTTCAAAATGATTCATTTCTACTGTAATCATACCGAACTTTGACTACAGACCTAACGCATCAAAAACGACGATGACCCTTACCTTGGTCATACTAATAACCAAACTTTTTCCGTTATCCATGATCGCAATGCGACTGGAGTTGGATACAACATCACCATCTTTGAGCCAAACGACCGAGTCCGCATCGCCACTCACTTCACAGCGCAAACGGGTGGACTGTTCCGGACGACTAGGTTCGTCTGACTGGTACACGTGTACACGTGGTCGAGCTAATCAAGGAAAAAACAGGGATGAATACATTTGTTGAGACAGACAGAGGGAGAGAGAAAGATGGTAATCCGTAATAGAATAGAGTATGCTATGAATTGTACGGAGAAAGGCAACAAAAACGTCCCGTTGCCGTTTGGAACACCCCAACAGATTTCGTTTATGTTAGTATTAAACCAAGTAAGAACCTTTATTGCAGTCCTTTGTAATTTTTTCATGTTTTTTTTTATCGATTGATTAGTGTCTTTGTTTCTTGGGAAACTTTTACTATGGATATTTATATGTTTTTTACTTGCCACTTAACCCTTATGTGCTTTGAGTTTGCATATGCATGCCAAAATATCCTGGCGTATGAATTTGTGGATGGATTTAGTGACTGAGCACTTGATAACCGTTTGTGTGTATTGTTCGTACACTAACTGGAAGCTACTTGCAGTAAAGCCGTTAGGTGAAAACCTCACCTTTAGATCACTCCCGATTGCGAACCCGGTACACACCCAGTATCGACACACGGGTACTTCGGTTACCCTCACCCCCACCCGGTGGATCTAAGCGCCCTCGACCTTGGGGGTCATACTTTTCAGTCGAAAGCTCCGGTTATTGTTCCTAAAGAAAAACCCCTTCATCTGTTTTGGCCACCGCGAAGTTGGTAGTGCCCAGGCTTCCGTGTGGATATGAAAACCCTGATCAGAAGACACCGTCACATAGGTCGCGTCAGGTTTCCTAAATGGGATCACTGTAATCAGTGGTTACAGGCAGGAGTGATGTGACTGAGTGCCCTAAACACTGACACACGCATCTACTTATTATTCTTGCAACCTTCGTCTTCATGAATTTTCTATATTCACCCTGACACTGATTCGAACAGTTCAAGCATCTCCTTACTCCTTCACCTAAATGAGCTGTCATGAGACCTCGCCCAAAACCAGCGCAAGAAACTGCATGGTTATTGTTTGTCAAAACTGAACGGAAAGGGACAGTATCGACATTTTAAAGAATAATGGTTAGATTTCCATGAAGTGAATCATTTTGTTGTCATTGGAAAATACATAAAGAAATGTGCTCACTTTTCACTCGCAATTCAAAGGGATATTCAATTTTCCCGGCATCATTTTTGGCCACACAGGAATACAATCCTGCCTGTTCGGTTCGAAGTGGCCCGAGGACAAGTGACCCGATTCCATTCTTGCTGGGGTTGCCTGGAAATTGTGAACGTGAAAGACTCAGATCGCCAGTGTAACAATGTAAATGAATTTTTTTATTATTTCTTCTTTATTTATTAGGTATAGAGGTATACAATCTTAAGCAGAGAGACCGCAGTCATTGAAAGGCTGATTGTGGAGATATAGCAATGGGTGATAGTGTTGGGGTTCGAACTCAGGATCTCCAGGAAGCCAGTTTTGCTCACCTCAACCACTTGACCATGGTAGCACTTGGAACAACGTTTAACTCAGGGTTGACCAACTGATCCTACACAGTGATGTACAAATAACCCTCTTCGATGCATGAAGACTGTGAGCTAATCTAACAGGATTCAATCTCCTCATCGTTCCGCATCGTATGACGTATCTTTCGCTTCTAATCAGCCGCGCATATCATTCAAGATACTTATACGGTTGTACCGTATTTCTCGTCTCCACCAGTGGTGAAAAATGAATCATTCATCGTTCCCTCGATCCACGCGATCTAACTTCCAAAGCGATTACGACGATACGGTTGGTGATGTCTCCCTATGATCTGGCTTTCAGGTATACTCACAAACATAGAACGAGGTCGTAGTTTTGGACAATAAGTTATTTTATGAGCTCTCTTTGGGGACGAAAAAAGTTTTGTTTTGTCTTTTGTGCAGTGTATTCAGTATGGCCAGTGATGTGTGAAAATGTTTTAACTGCAAGTTGCACAACGCGATGCCATGCCAACTGAACATTTAAGTTTAGAATGATGGTAACGATGTGGAATCTGAGAAAAGAAGAAAAACAGGTCAGATTCATGCCTCCCATCACAAGTTATTGTGTGAACTAACCCCACAGGTTATCACAGGCTTTCTGTGAGTGAGTACGATCAAGAAATTCAGCTACAAAAATGATGATACTTGAATCAGTAACCAGATTGCACCGAAGCCGACGGACAAATTGTGACCAGTTATTTCAAAGTCGTCTATGGCTAATCAGAGTTTGAATCTAACGGCTTGACTCGTCGACGTCTGTGACAATTATTTACCTGATGATAAGCTAGAACTGCCAAACCAGTCGTGTTTTTACAGGATACCGTGTTCAGCCACTTAAGTGCTATTTATTGTAAAACCATGAAAGCCGGGTCTCACAGCGGAATCGACTGGGGTTTCAATGATCTAATTCAATTTAATACAATATGGAAGTACCATCTTTGGGATGATTGTACCTTCCGGCGTATACTGCTCAAGGTGCAAATGGAAGTATTGCGACTGTCTTAGGTAAACGTTAACTTATATATTTATTAAACAGAGTAATCGGCCATTTACAAAACGCATCCTTCTGTGACCCAGTGGGCTAAAGGAACTGTGCAATTGCTGTTGCAATTGCTCCTGCTTCTATTCGGTCAGTGAGCTGCAGTCAGCTGCAGTCAGTGAGTCAGTCTGTCTGTCCTTCTGTCAGTAGTCAGTCTGCCTGTCTGTTTGTCAAATGAAAACCAAATAACAGCAGTCGTGCTTCAATCCCGGCGAACAACAACGACAACTGGTCACGCATAAAGAGGACCGACATTGTTGTGCTGTGCAAAGACATACACACAGAGCGGTAAAAAGTGCACGGTATTCCTATTGCGGAGGGAGAGGGCATCAGTCTTACTTGGTATGGGATCGTTATTGTGCATCCACCGAAT